AAGCAAGGAAGCAAGGAAGCAAGGAAGCAAGGAAGCAAGGAAGCAAGCAAGCAAGCAAGCAAGCAAGCAAGGAAGCAAGGAAGCAAGGAAACTAGAAAGTGAGGAATGAGGGCGGGAATGTCCACACTCCAACACAGCTGGATCAGCACAGCTAGTAGATGGCACGTCAATTTTGACTGCACCCCTGTTTTTTACATTTTGTGGTGCGCACACCTACCTTTCGCGCCATCTACTGTTACCCCGTGTATTTTATGTACAGGGGTCCCGGGAGCCATCCATTATATTGAAAGTTGAGAGCCTGGTACTCCCCAGATAGTGTACATGTCTTGGATGTTTGATCTCGGGATGGCTGTTGTCATCGTTCGAATTGCAAGGTGTTTGCTTGGAAGTCCAAGTTTCAACTGCTTGATTTCCAAACTTCAGAATTGGGATCATCGATCCTCGCTTCATTATCGTTGCCTGCACATTATGTTGAATACGGTGCATGAATGCTGGGGTATGGTAGGCCCTTTCCGCACCGTGTGCTTCATGCCTTTGTGCAATGCCCCGGTGTTGCAATGGCTACAATGCCCAACTCATGCCACATTGTTTGTCAGTGTGTTGCTCACACCCATAAGTTGCACAGACAAAAAGCTTGGTGAGGGCTAAAAAGGAATCCTGTTGCTCATCAAACGCACCGTTTTGATCTATGCTTGGCGAGTGTTGACCAGTTAGTTACAACCCCCATATGAGGTTAAGGATGGTTAACGGGATTGATTGACCCGAAACTATTTGTCCATACCTTACCAGTTTTCTTGGGATATGTTGAGCTCCGTTTAAGTAGCTAAATCAGCAGGTGCGCGTGGCCACCCTCTACAAACTGGAGAGCCATCTCTCACATTCTATGCGATAAGTGCCTCGTTCAAATTCGATTTCTGCAGAATGCAAAGATTGGAGCTACACTGGTAGAGCAAACTTGAACAGAAGTGTTCTTTCTATTAGAGCATGTTCATGCCTGGCCTGCTGAAATCCCAACTGTTGCAAGCCCTATAGCGGCCCCAGACAATGTAAGCTCCAGCCGCTGTGTAGCTATTTCTGCTGATAACAGTCCATGAGTTGTCTTGCAGCAGCTTTGATTAACTGTATCAGTCAATTAGTCATTAGATAAACTTCATTGCACATTTTGGCAAGCTGTTCATTTCAGCTGGCCCCATTTTAACCAACTGTCTAAGCCAGGCTGGTTTGTGACAACAATTTACCCGTTCCTTGACTCCCTCAAGAGGGAGGAAGGATATCATAAGTCTCGTTTAATGTCTTTTGCAAACTTTAAGGCGATGTGCACGTGGAGCTGAAGGAGAGGGGATAGTGGGATCAAACAAAACTTCAAGTTGGCAGACCTCCGCGTCGATAGACATTATGTAATACGTCACTTGTACATACTCGTACCATTTGTCAAGGACCAATCAAGAAATTGATGTTCCATAAGAGGCAGTTGAATGACTTTGCGTCATTGCCTTGGCCCTGGGGGATGTGGATCTACTCTTGGGCTCTTGAGTCCATGCTTTCGCAACTGTCTCTAGTCTCAGGAGAACATGGAGTGGTTGCGACATTTGCCTCGCAGCGCGGCCAATTTTAGAAGTGCATACCAATAGATGTTTGAATCATCCTGAATCGCTTTCATTTGGTGAAGTGAACGGCCATAGCAAAGGTCATACAGTAAGGTCGTCCAGAAGCGGACGGATTCCGACCCAAGAACCCGATGGAAGGAATCGCCTGAGGATT